CAGTTCCATGTCCTGTGAACAAAATTACAGACATGGGTCTCAACAATTCAATTTCAGTTTACTTCGTTGCAACAAGTGGATTTACTCTAAAACAAGTACCAATACCGTTTCCACCTTGATGATTCTGCCGTGTTCCCCGTCCCCGACCTCTGCCTTTGTTCCCATTTTTATGGCCCCCATCCTGAAAATGGTTAGATAGAAAATATGCAATTAAAACAGAGCATTCTTGTGTCCTGGTTTAATGGAATGTCATAACTATGCAAGTAGGTAAATTCGATTTATTCAGCTCCTAAATACCAGACCGTAATGTTACTTCCAAAAGCCCTTTGCAATAGAGTAATCAACGATGAAGGCATGTGGAAGTAATATATGATGAAGGCATGTGGAAGTAAGATAGGTAAGATAAACTTACCTCATCAGCCAGAGTATCAGAATGTTGGTGACGGTGATGCTGATGTTCATTTGCCTTTTTGTTCTCCTCTCCTCCAGTTCGATCATGAACTCCGCCTGTCTTGTCCTTCTCTATATCGACTTCCTTCCTAGCTGGTCTTCTCTGTGCAAACTTTCCCTATGGTGAATAAGAAATCAGATTATTAAAGCTATAGTCTGATTCCATATGTATTTTTAAGTTTAAGCTTCAAGGATTACTTACTGTTTGTTCGAGAAGCTTAACTCGCAACCCATTTCGCCAGTCTTGCTCATCGTTCAATGTAGATGCCTGCACCAATTAATAAATGTAGATAAACACACGCATTCCTTAGAAGAGAGTTGACTGGAAAACCCATACAGATTGTAAGTCTTATTTGACACTTACCGCCTTTTCAGCTGCCTCCACTGTTTCATATTCCACAAAGGCATGTAACTACAGCCAAAAGAAGAAGAAGCCAGTTAAATACACATAAAACATACATATATGTTATTGTGATTCCGTAAGAACGTTCTCCATGAAATTCCTTACTCTGGTTCTGATGAATTTGTCCTTCTTACAACCCTTCTCTGATTCTTCAGCAGCATTTGGATCACATACAGATATACTTTTAATGCTACAGTTGGAAAGAATGTTAATCAGTAGTATGCATAAATGATATAGCCAAGATGTAGCAATGATATGAAAGGAGAAAAGGAGTGACTAGATAAAAAGACAGCTAAAGTTAAGGCCTACCTTCCAGCTTTACCAAAAATCTCCCGAATATTTTCGTCTGAATGATCCTCTGGCAAATTTTCTACCAAAACAGTGAAAATCTATGGTATACCAATATTAGGAGCGAATATATCTCAAATTAAATACATAAAACATTACTTAGAAAGAGATAGAAGGATGATGTTTGCGGCACTTGATACCTTTGGATCCCTGACCTCAGGAAGAGGACTCAGACGCTTCACCTTCTTCCCATCCTGGCTAACAACCTGCAGGTTGACCAGACAGATACCAAAATCTGTATGAGTTTCATCTGGTATTTAATTTTCCTATCGCTATATGATTACTCTTAACAATTTCCATTCGTACTATTTGTAACTACTATGAAGAAGCTTACAAGAAATGACGACTCCTTTAAGGCTGATACAATCAAAGCATGGTCTCGAGTAAGCTTCTTCATTTTATGGAATGTAGCAATGGTAGATATGGGAACTGCATAGGAAAAAGAAAGCCATTGACATAATTCTTACAAATTTCCATGAAGTAACATTATAAAGAAACCACATTACTTCATCAATTAAATAACGAGAGATTTTATCAACAATTCGAGGTTAGCCAACTTTAGATACTAATCATCCAGATACAATCCATCCACATAAGTTTGGCAGAGGAAAGCTGGCTGCGCCAGAAAACAATCCCTGAAGTAAGACTGCCTTAACCCCTAAGTACCTACTTTAGTTCATCAATTGCAATATCTCTATTCAGGAGTGTTTTTTTCAGTCAACTGTGTATTAATCAATGATCACAAAGTTTCCACCTTTCAATGATCCATGTTTCAAATATCAGAAAGTTTATAACTACATGAGTGAACCCTAAAATCAAGGGTCTATTGCCTGATTCAGAGTCAAAGTATATACTCACCAAAGCCTTTTTTGGTTTTCTTCATAGCATTCAGAAGAAATTTGTCAGTAGGCAAATTCTCGTCACTAAAGTAGTATTCAACCTGCAACAAACACACTAGATTCAGAACTAACCATATAGCAAACAAATCTTGAAGAACAGAACAATAAACCCAAACTCGAAAAGCATGTTCTAAGATTGTCAAACTTGAAACTACTCGTTAAACAGAAGCTTAATGAAATGCACAAGAAACCCTTTGAATCAAACACACCGCAAGATGATGAAAAAGTAACTTAAACTTAATCCCGATCAAAAGTGAAAACGCAATAGAAATTCAAAGGTTTCAGAATCCTTACCTGTCTAATGATCTTCTGCTTCAACTCATCGATGGGAACAACAACAACGTCGGTCTCACCCAGATTCTCGACCTGATCCTGATCGCGATGATCCTCGCTGCTATTTCTTCTCTCGTGGTCAAAATCATCATCTGACGGTATCTCCGAGACAACAACATCATCGGAAGATCCGGCAACTGGCAACGAATCGACTTGCGTTTGCGATTGCGGTTGGAAAATATCCGCGGTTGAGCCAATCGCGTCTTCCGCTGCTTGCAAATTGACGGCGGCGACGGAAGGCGTATCAGCCGGTTCCATCTTCACCGGAGCGAAGAGGAAGAGACGACGAAAGATCGCCGGAGAAGAGAGAAGAATTTCTGGGTTGGGGGAAAAAAAATCCTCCCGCTTCTTTTTTTCCTCTTCCTCTTACCTCTCAGCCGACGCGTCTTCCATGTTCCTCCATTTTTATAAGACTTTTTCGTGTTTATTGGTCAAAGGTTAATTTCGTCATTTATTTAAAACGGCACCGTATTAATTCTTCTTTGATCGAGGTAGATATATATAATGGCTTTTGATGGGCTTGAAATATATCCAATTCAAGAGGCTTTTAATAGCCCATTACTCTTTTCAGACTTAATAACATTGCAAAAAAAAAAAGAAGTAAATCCGAAATACCGATTTTAATTTCATTTTTTGTAGGCATTGGCTTGACTTTTCCAATGAGTTGAGTGATTTAGTGGTTTTGGTCAATTGATTGATATTTCATTGTATACAATTTTGTAAAAATTGTAGTATTCATCTGTCGATTGTAAACGTTATTGTTGAGTTTTGGTTTGGTTAAAACTTGGTTACAAGAAAAACGGTGGATATTTTCATATTTATAAATGATGTGACAAAACGTTGGTTTTGGATTTAAACGCAACTAATCTTTAGAACACTCTATATATTGGAATGATGACTCGGAGATTGAAATTTTATGGTCTCCCTTATCAACCAATTAAAAGGAATGTTGATCTATACACTAGCATATCATCAAATATTATATACCCAGTGATCATTATACATGTTGACAATGACCAACTATAAGTGATTTATTAAGTATCATTTAGAAAACACTTTATGATTATTGTCATTGATAATATATATATGTGTGTGTAAACTAGGCATTATACTATATCCACTAGGTTGGAGAGAAATATAAATTGTCAAAATGAAAATGAGATGTTATTTGTAAAGAG